CAGATTGGGTGTGAGGACACACACTCACCGATAACATTGTCTAGCGGTGGCCCTATGTCGTGAATTGGCAGAAGTTGGAATTCATGGGCTGGCCATTGTATCGGGTCTCAGTGGCTTAATGGTCTATGAGCTCGCCTTGTAACCAGAAGGCCCTAGGTTCGAACCCTGGCGGTGGGTGCGTACTGATGAAGAGTCTCAAACTAGGTCTAAACAGCTGTCCAGTACTCCTTGGTGGGTTTTCCAATGGTTCTCTAACGGATGTCAGCTCATAATAGAATGATAAACTTTAAATATATTAGATACTGGGAAGGAAACTGATAATCGCCAGTTAGCGATTTCTTTCTCTATTTGTAAAAACAACACTCTTGGGTTCTACTTCTTTTAATTTAAATTTTGACATAAAATCTTTGTTCCTAATAAAACATCCTATGGAAAGAGATATTTAAAAAAATATCTATCAATTGTATTTGGAATTATTTGCTGACCAAAGCTACACTACGCCTAAACAATTTCCAAACTGACGTCTTAATTAGAAATTACAGAGTATAGCTAAGTACACTCAATAGATAAACAAGTTAGAAGTTATTAGGCTACTGTTTCGAGTCCCATTATGTTTCAGTTCTTCATGTAAACTCTGTTTATCAAACAAATTGATTAGCGTTAATCGAATGGAATTAAGATATAATAAACTGTCTCATCAACATTATAATATATGATGTTAAAAATGTCCTACAAACATGAAATGCGAAACATTCATTGAACATCGGAAAATGTACGAATAAAATTCATAATAAAGTAATTATTTTAACTAATGAAAAGAAGTTAAAAAGGAATTTAACCATTCTTCTGTGTGCCAATTAGCTTTAAAGAAATCTTAAAGAAACTATCAGAAATTTATTTATTGGATATCTAAATGTGGCACTATAAAAAGTTTCTATCACTCCATGCACTCGGGCAGTTATGCGCCTTAGCCTTAGGTTAAATTTCATCCACTCAGGGACGATTTTATTGTATGGATTTTCTTAAAATATGCTGAGTGTCCTCAAACCATCACTAAATTAAAGAAAAAGCATTTTAGAAGATGAAACATTACACTCTTTGGTTACAGCATTTAATCATGAACTGACATCGGTTAGAGGACCATTGAAAAACCAGGAAGTACTGGACCGGCGTTTCGTCCTAGCTTCGGACTCACCGCCAGGGTTCGAACCCGGGACTTCCCGGTTACAAGGCCAGCGAACCCGTAGACCATTAAGCCACTCTTCAACAGCCAGCCCATGAATTCCAACTTCTGCCAATTCACGGTATTGCGCGACTGGCACTAGCCAGTGTCATCAGTCAGTATTTGTCCTCACATCCGACTTGCTCTACCCCACTGGTCACGACTTCCACTAGAACCCAGGTAACTACCTGCCTGAATAGGGCCAGTCGCTGGTGAGCATCAGATTAACACTCAAATGTTGGTTTGCATGGATTTGATTTGATTGGTTACAGGATTTCATCATGAGCTGACATCTTTACCTCTCTGCCAAAGCTATTCTCAAATAAGTGGGAAAATGTGAACTATGTTGGAAAAATAGACTTATTTAGGTATTTCACTGACGTCCTTTACATGAATGTCATTTTGCTATATGCTACCATTCGCTAATCTAGCTTCATTGCCTAATTTATTCAGGCATATTATGGACAACTGTTGTAAAACTTGATAAGCTGGTTACTTTCAGTGCTTTACCTATCACTATCTTATCTATAAACCATACTTCTTAATTTTCACATTATTGTCTAGAAGTAATGATATTCATGTGACTGTATGCTTCTTACTTTGGTCATTAGTTTGAAGGATAATGAGAAGTCGTTTCAACCGGAGAACAACATCAGGTATATAGTGAGTGAAAACAAAGGAGACAGTTTATAGACAGAGCTATGACTGACAGTTCTCTTCAACTGTTATTCCACAAAAGCAGCGGGTCTGATTCGATAAACACTCAGTGAAATTCGATAAAGAATCAGGTTTACACTCTCTTCACTGTACTCAAATAAAGTTGTATTTTTATTTGGAAAGAGACTCACAAAAAGAGTAATACAACGACCGTATTGGTTGTGTTTTAGAGTGTAGAAAAACTGTCTGCCTTCTTTGACTGATATTAGTTCTGTCTGTGAAAAAACTAAATGACTTCGAACAAAACTACATACTACTCAAGCTAATAATTGTTTATTGAAAGGAAATAAAAAGGTTCAGTAAAGTTTTAGCCTGTCATAAGGGGTTAGTGTTAAGCTACTGCTAAGTAGAAAATGTTTAAATTTAGACAAATTTTTATATTTATTAGTTGCTTCTTTATTTTACAATTATTATGATTTAATTATTTGTTTTAATTTAAACTTTCGAGGTGGCTGAATTCAGCCCTGTAGGTAACTTCTGAAGGATGAATCACATTTCCCAGAAAAGAGTAGCTGAACACTATACAGTATGGTTGATGAAAGGAGAAAATAGAATGACTAAGTCTTCTATCTGTGAACATCTTCTTGAGTCAGATCACTCAGCCTTACGCGATTTATAATTTAATTTAACTGTATATCAAATGAAAAGGTGATTAATTGATTTGGGCGCTCAAATTCTACCTGTGTGACTGGGGGTTAGGAATCCACCCCACTTGTCAAGATTTAAGCAACCAGGTAGCATCACTGATCTTAAGACAATGGATATAACTCATTGCCAGCTGCATGTAAATCCCAGTAGTTGTTGAGTAACATGAGACAAAAATGACAGGAATCGTCAGGTTATAATTTATCATGTAATAAATAAATTAGGGTGCTTTTGTGTAATCAGGATACAGCTGTGGATGTAGAACCACTCACCAGCATATTCGCTTCAACAGTCATTAAATAGATACCGAAGCCTAGATAATACACTCGGCTTATGCTTAATAATGAGTTTTAATTACTTAAGAGAATTTTCAATAAGTCTATACTAGTAAACATTCCAGGATATGTAATAATTCAGGTATTAAAATCCAAAGCTATTAAGCTTCTAGCTAGCACAGCTTAGTCAACAGAATGACTACTATCCAATGGTCTATAGAACAATTGTTAAAATTTTATATTCCTTCGAAATTCACTACTTAAATGTTCAGGTTATTATTCGTTAAATATAATTTTTTAAATTAATTACGTGATTTTCATTATTATTAGTAATAGTAGTAGTGGCATACAAAACAACTTGATTATTATCAAAGCGCATATGTTTTATTAATTTTGAGCGCGACAAAGACACGCCTCTTTTACAGATGCCCCTCCCATTAATTTCTAAAAATAATATTTTTTATTCATTTGTTGCTCGAAATACTAATGATTAATTTTTGAAAGAATAACTTTAAGCTTTTAATAAAGTATATCTGGTTACATTTTAATGCGAGAATCATATGTCACAGTATATAAAATTAGTACTCTCTGCCACCCTGCGTCAGTCAGTTTTTCAACTGTGACGCTTGCCAGCCACACACGCGATCCGGGGTTAGATTCCCGGACGACTTACAGATAAACCTCATCCGGTTGGTAGTAAGCCAGGAGGAGAGTGAAGGTTGGTTGTGTGGCTAGCGACCCCATCCCGTATAAACAACAACACTATTGCTACTGAAACGTCAAAGCTTAAAGCCTCACGCTTCACTTGGAATGCAAGGCAACAGAAAAATCATTCATTGCCATCTAGGCTAAAATAGCCTCACAACCTACTTTGTTAACTCTACTTGTCACAGAAATTCTGTATAGCTTTAGAAAATCTCTTTCTATAAGGTAATGACGAATAATCACAATTTCAGTTGAGTCTTAAGTGAAAATTTAAAAACCATTTGAAAGTGAAACTATTCTATTTTTAGGGTTGTTCATGACTTTCAACTTTCCAGATATCTCTCACATTATTTAAGTTGAGCTACCTTATACACTTCTGTACTCGATTAGGAATGAATAGATCATAAGACAGAAGGTAGTGGAAAGTTTATTTGAAATCGAAATTGGTTATTTGTGAATTTCAAAGTCTGAGGTGACTTCCTTTGGAAACTGACAAGAGACCATCAAGAAAAGAAGTGAAATAGCATGGTCTCACGTACTACTGGCTCACAGTTAAGTGGAAACTACCATCTCCATCTGTGAAAGATGCAAATTCAATTCTCTAATAACTGATTCGCACAAGTGGTTAGCCTGAATTTTAGTAGTTCGAACTGATTTGACCCTCCGGCAGACCAAGCGCAACAGCCTTTCAGTGATTAGATCACTTCAACCTGACTAGCAAACAATACCAGTTGTCTTGGGTGGCTTCCAGCTACCTATTTCAGTCAATAGTGTATGCCATCACGCCATTCGAAAAGTACATTTTAGTGTTTATTCATCTAGATGCTCCTGATAACTACCCAGTCAGAACCGAAATGTTTAAGTACCATCTCCAGTCATAAAATATTAATATTTAAAAGCTTACTAATAGTGCAGTGGTAAATAAGAGCGCTTATCTTCAAAGCAGTACAGTTATATGTTAATGAGGAGAATGTGTTTTGGCACTCAAGTTTTCTTTAACATACTCTTCGAATCATTTGTTAACCTAATACCGAATAGCTCAGTGGTAACGTCTCTGACTGCAGCACTGGGTGATGCGGGTTCGAATCTCAGAAGGGACATGAGTTCCTTCAAGGTTGCAGATACGCCTTGCTGATGAGTGCCAACTAGCACGAAACCTAGGTCCAAGGCTTCCTGTGGCCAATTACCTCCAACTATCTAATATCATCAAAAAGATTCTCTGTTAAGATAATCAGGAATATTGTTGTTTTTTCCAAGAAAGACCCTTATTATCCTATGTTTTTGGAAAATAAGGGAGTGCACAAATAAAATGCTGTTGTTTAAGTCATAAGTCCTGTAATTTACATCAATATGCTGATATATAAGTTCGAATACCAGATATATAAAAATATAAGACTGAAAATTTAAAACTAAAATTCCTAAATATTACTACTTACCACACTATTTACAGCCAAATATAAATTCCAAATTGTCAATAAATTTTCTAAATAAACCTACAGTCAAACAGACTGACGCTTTCTTCCTTTACTTTAATAAGACTAGAATATAATTGGATAATCAATGAAGACTACGAAAAACCCGACCAATCAAAGTGCAGGAGCCACTCGGCCAATAGCATTGCTTATCGTCAAGGTTGAAACAAGTTGTATTAATGGGTTCTGACTTTTTTATCCATATGGTTTCTACTTCCTAGATGAATATAAATCAGCTGTTTTCTAGTGTTTTTTGTTTTCGTTCAGGATTATTTTTGCTTGCAAAATAAAAATGAGTGCTTTTTTTGCAAAGTAGGTAAATTTAACAAACTGAAGGATTTAGAAGGCAGTATATCCTGCTAACACTAGGCTTACAGACTAGGTGGAAAACTCAGCTGTTTCGACTCTCTAAAATGTCATTTTGATTAATGAAAGATAATTAACTGATACTAAGGCACTTTCTCATTTCAGCAGTCAGTAAATAATATGAAAATATACCCTTCCACAGTGTCCAGTTTCTAACCATAGTTGCACAGTATTTTCAGTAAAATAAAAAACACAGTATATCTAAGTTTGGATTAGTGGTAAAAGACATCACTAGACTGTTCGAACAATTATAACTACTTAATTTTCAAGTTTGAACACAGATTGATATCAGTTAGGGAACCATTGAAAACCACCAGGAAGCACTGGACAGCTGTTCCAGACTCATTGGCAGCAAGCGCCCACCACCAGGGCTCAAACTCTGGACCTTCCGATCCCAAGGCAAGCTTGTAGACCATTCAGCCACTGGGACCCATCAGTCATGAATTTTAACTTTTGCCGATTCCTGATTTTACCGCGACCACTAGCCAATGCCATCGGAGAGTAATTGTACTCACTCCCAACTGGATGGACCCCACTAGTCACGACTTCTCACTAGAACCACGGGGAACTCCATCCTGTAGCCAGTCACTAGCGAGCATCAGATTAATTTTCAAGAGTTGGTTGGCTTGTGGTCACGCTAAAATCAATAAATTGTTAGAAATTAGAATTCATGGGTGATTGAGTTGGGTCCTAGTTGCTGAATGGTCTACGAGCTTGTCTTGTAACCGGAAGGTTGTGGATTCAAAATCCTGTGGGTGCATACTGCAGATGAGTCCGAAATTAGGACGAGACAGCCATCCAGTGCCTCCTGGTGGTTTTCAATGCTTCTCTAACTGATATCAATCCGTGGTCATACTTGAAAAACAGATCAAATCCCTACAGACCAACTCTTGAGAACTATTCAAAACAATTAGTCCCTTTTATTCAAATAGAAAGTATTGACTGTTTTATTTGGCTAGGGTCGCGCTATGTAGTGAACTGGCAGAAGTTATAATTCATAGGCTGGCCATTGCATCGGGTCCCAATGTCTTAATGGTATAAGAGCTCGCCTTGTTACCAGAAGGTCCTGGGTTCGAACCCTGGCGGTGAGTGCGTACTGAAGAAGAGTCCCAAACTAGGACGAAACAGCTATCCAGTACTCCCAGGTTTTCCAATGGTTCCCAAACTAATGTCAGCTCATGATGAAAATCATGTAACCAATCAAATCCCTACAAACCAACACTTGAATAAATATTTAAACTGTCGCATAAACCAATGAATCATTTTTTGAATGAATTTATATGATAAATGTGAATCACTCACATGCGTTCATATGTGATTATAGTCTATTGTGGTTAGTCATATTCCCGTTTATTTATCTCCATCTACTTCATGACATGAAATTATATAATTATGTAATAACTGTTAAATGCTGGAATACACTGTGCAGCATAAAGGGTTTAACTTTGTTCACTGAGTATTACTGAATAAAATACACGTTTTGAAAATTAAGACTGTCCTAGTAATCATTTCTGTCTTAACTAGAAGACAACCAATTGGTGTTAACATTTCGAAAAAAGAAAGAAAAACTACGCTAATATGCACATGTCGAACAAAAAGATAGATAATCAATCAAAAACTACCATTATGACTAGACAATTAATTGTTACAGTCGATCACATGGATAAATGTGAATCGATACAATAGGTGACTTCTAAAATTATCTGCATAGTTGTTTGCATGACTGTTATCTTTATACGTGCACATATGCAGTGCATTTATGCTCAATGCATACCTTTAAATATTTCTAGGGCTTTTATAATTTTTTGTTATTAGTTGTCTTGGCAACAATCTCCGTTTCATGTTGGGTGGTTGAAGGCAGTTGTCAAGTCTTCCTGGATCTAGGTTTCATACTTATTGGTATTCTTTAGTAAAAACTATTTACAGCCAGACATTCGAACCAACAAAACCCAATACTTTTTCAAGTGTTGGTTTGTAGGGATTTGATTGGTTACAGGATTTTCATCATGAGCTGACATTAGTTAGAGAACCATTGGAAAACCTGGGAGTAGTGGACAGCTGTTTCATCCTAGTTTGAGACTCATCAGTACGCACCCACCGGGATTCGAACCCAGGACCTTCTGGTAACAAGGCGAGTTCGTATACCATTAAGCCACTGGGACCCGATGCAATGGCCTGTCCATGAATTCTAACTTCTGCCAATTCACGACATAGCGCGACCCCTAGCCAATGTCTTCGGCTTGCCCTATTCAGGTAGGTAGTTACCTGGGGTTCTAGTGAGAAGTCGTGACCAGTAGGGTGCAGCAGGTCTGGTGTGAGGACAAATACTCGCCGAAGACATTGGCTAGGGGTCGCGCTATGTCGTGAATTGGCAGAAGTTAGAATTCATGGGCTATGATGAAAATCCTGTAACGAATACTTCTTGTTGAAGGAATCTTTGAACGATTGCCTCAACAATGTTTTGACTTTCATTAAGATATCAATTATCCATTAATTGTTGGTAATAGGATTTCGAAAGTGGATCGCTCCCTTCACATGATACTCTTCATTTGAATATGCTTGTGACACTGAGACTTGGATGCAGGCACCACTGTGTGAGATATGCTTAGACGATAAAGAATGCCATTTTATGATTTGTCTTTCGTGAAAGCAACTTCTAATCTTAGGACAATAGTTGCCAACATTAAAAACAACCAGATGTTGTATAAAGATCATATTCACTTTTATTCCATTATTGGTGAATTCATTATGTCGTGCGTTTTTAGAACAATACACTGAATTATTTTTGACCACAAATGTATTTATTTGAATAAACAGTGATATACTACTTAAAAAGATTACCCTGCATAAGTTATTTCACTAGCAAAACAAATATAGTGACTTAAGAGAAGACAACTCTGTTAACAAACTAATCACCTTCACCGAATATCTTAACACTTTTAAGATGAGAGCACTTCTGAATCACCACCACATCACGGAATAGGGGATCACAGATTGACTGTAGGTACCCACGATCCAACCGATCACTGAAGAGTTACTAATAATACTCTTTACTAGTTTCAACCTGTTAACGAGTTGTATTAATCAAGGGTTTATTATTTATCATATATATTATATATATATATATATATGTATGAAGATTCCTGGGCAACACAACCAACAGCAACAACAACAGACAACAATCAGCATAAATGGAAGGAACCTGAAAGAAACAACCTCCTTCACCTACCTACCTGGGAAGCATCGTTTCAACTACAGGCGGACGGAGCTGACGAGGATATCAAAGCAAGAATCGGAAAAGCAAGACAAGCTTTCATTACTCTCAAGTCTGTGTGGAGGTCAACAGCACTCAGCATCAAAAATAAGATCCGGATTTTCAACTCCAATGTGAAGTCAGTCACTGCTACTATACGGATCAGAGACTTGCACTGCGCGTCATAAAGAGCATCTCAAACAAACTACAGACCTTCATTAACAGTTGCCTTCGCTCAATACTCAAGATCAGATGGCCGGCCAGAAAAGATCAGCAACAGAGATCTCTGGCAATGAGCGAACCAACACAGCAGGAACCGATTGTGAAACAAATAGGCAGGAAGAAATGGAGATGGATTGGCTGGCCATACTCTGAGCAAAGAAACCATCAAGTGACATCACTAGACAAGCCATTGCTCGAGTGGAACCCGAAAGGGAAGCGGCGGTGAGTTGGTCGTCAGTGCAAGGGTGACTTGGAGGAGGTCATGTGAAGAGGAGATGAAAACGTGTGGGCAGACTTGGAGCCAGGTGAAGACTCTAGCAGAGAACCGAACACAATGGAGACGCACGGCTGAAGCCCTATGTTCCTCTAGGAATTAAAGGAAACAATAATATAATAATTATTATTATATAGTCAGTGAACACTGTGAAGTATTTTGCTGAGTCATGAATCGCTGTCTTTTCGATATCAACTTTTAACACACAGCACTTCTGAAGGCGTGGCTTTTGAAAGGACGGTTGACATACCACTCTGCTTGTAATGACTGACACACTTTTTAACTGAGTGCCAATGAATATGAAATATTGATTTGTATGTTTTCTACTGATTATCTTTAAATCTCTGAAAACTTACACTATCCTGGTATATATGTGTGTATATGCGTGTATATATGTGTTTTGCCTTGTCTTCAATACTATGGAAGTTTTAATAACCGAAGGAATACAGTCTAAGCAATAAATAAGTGAATGGTCATATGGTTACGCCGCTGACTCTATATTGAATAAGAGAATTCTGCATGACTGTCAGTCATATTCATGCTTTTAGCCAGTAACCCCAGTGTTTTATGTGACTAAGCAATACACACTGTGTGTACAGAAGTAAACAAACGAAAACAACGAATGCGAAACAAACAACAACACAAATATACCAAAGGGACAAAGACACACTGATGACTCACCATAGTCAAAGTGAAAAACAAAACAGTGTAAAGGAAACAAAGGTTAGGAGTTAGAGAAACGATTTCTATGCAGAATAGGAGATGAAAACAGGCAGATATTGTAGTTCATTACTAGAAAAATGAAGTCCTGCTGGACAAGCGAACAAGTATTTTTACTAATGACAACTAAACTAGTAATACTAACGATATAATAATATCCTTTATTGAGCTT